TCGAAGGAATCGGCGGATCAATTTTGTGTTATATATGGTAATCCTTCTGCGAATTAGATCCTAAATTGACTATTTGTGAAAAAAAGAGAAAGGGCGGGTTGTATAATCTCACTCCTCCCCCATTAGTTGAGACTTCAAGGAGGTTTTCCCCGGAATGAAAGAAAAAAAAGAAACTGGTTCACGTAAGAATGGACGTCTTGGTTCACGCAAGAGTGCACGTAGAATACCAAAAGGACTTATTCATGTTCAAGCAAGCTTCAACAATACCATTGTGACTGTTACAGATGTAAGGGGTCGGGTGGTTTATTGGGCCTCCGCCGGTACTTGTGGAAGAGGGGGTACAAGAAGAGGGACACCATTTGCTGCTCAAACTGCAGCGGGAAATGCTGTACAGTAGTGGAGCAAGGTATGCAACGAGCGGAAGTTATGAAAAAGGGTCCAGGTCTCGGAATCCCATCTTCCAAGGTCAGGAGCCACGGAGCCAGAAGACCGTTCGACGATCCTACTTCTGATGTCATCCCCTTCTGTTCCCTCCCTGTTGAATATCCCAACTATTCTATATCCAATTCCGGGATGGATCATGAAAGATTTTGTCTTGAAATGCCGATAAGGAATAGCCAGTTATAGAAGCGGGTGGCAGGGAATGAAAGCACTCCTGTGCTATCAAAGTAGAGATATTAGTTAGAGCTAGGGGCAGGCCATCTATTCCTGCTTGACTTTCTTCAAGATACGAAATGAGCAGCCGTTTTTCGTGACATCATATCACTATTCGGCAAGTCAATCCCGCTTACCGGCTCAATATATCTCTCAATAGATTCGCTTGCCACAACGACCGGACAGGATAGGAGATCGCCCAACCTTCCAATTTATCTTTCTGAAGCAACTATAACGGATGGGCAGCTTCCCTACCCACTGGGGATTTTTTTCCCCGTTCCAACTTCGGATTCTTGGAAATCATCCCCGGTTCTATGATTTAAGGTTAGGAGTTTCATTCTTAGCAAGATCCCCAGCTATTGAATCTGTTGTCGTCGGCGGGGCTACTTCTTCTTCTTTCGAAATGAGAAGAATAGCGTAGTCAAAGTAGGCCAAGTCGGTAGCCTTTTCTGAAACTCTTGGGAGAAGGGCTGTAGGATTAGAAAAAGGCCTAACTGCTGTTGAAGGAATAGAGGCTGTTTCGGCTCTTGGAGTAAGGGGGGAAGGGCTGAGTGCCGGTGAAATGCTTTTTTAGACTTACCCCGCTCAATGGAAATTTATTTAGGCAAGATCCCACGTCCAAGAGTCTGATTCTGATTCTGCTTTCACTCTTATCAAGGAAGGAGGCCACCAAACCAAAGGGGAGGTCTTTGCTTGCTTTTCCTGTTAGAGATGCTAGTCTTTTTGTAATAACTGCTCTGAAGATGTTTTCAGGAATAAGAGAAGACGGTGCTCTTTCATCAGCTCTTTGGCTATTTGCTTGCGATAAAGAAAGAGTGAATTGATCCGAGCCAAGTAGTTCGGCTAAGCCGGAAAGAAAGAGTTAGATCCTCTTTGAGATGAAATGCGGCAATGTCCTAATCAAACCAGGCGCAAGGTCAATGATTTCGCTCAAGGCTCAAGGCATAAAGGCTCTTATTCCTTCTGCATTGGTCTCGGAGGGCCCTCGCTCTAAAGGGTTGATGGCAGCTATCCTGCTCTGTCAGAGATAATTGGAATGGAATTGGTGTGGTTCGCTAGCTCTTTCTTTTGAGACGAATGAATTCCGAATAAAGGAAGGCGGTCGTGATAGGGAAAGGCCTTTCCTTATTACCAGGAAAGATAAAATGGGCCAAATCGCCTGCTAGAGAAGAAGCTCTTAGGGAATCGATCTAGACTAGATGAGATGCCGGTGCCATTAAACTAGCTGCCAGAACGAGTTCAAGAGATGAGGATCCAGGTAGTGAAGTCACCCTCGGGGGAAGAATCATTCCATTCACTTGTGAAACTGCTAAGAAGAATAGCTTTTCTCTGAATCCACCACTCACTCTCTTTCGGGTAGGTTTAACAAGAAAGTAAAAGCAATCTCCTCAACCTAGAAAGAGAACTCCGGGATCTTCTTTTTCTTCTTAAGAACCCGAAGGCGAACTAATCCGTCTTGGTGCAGCTCCTAGTCCTGATCGATTGGCTACCGGGTGTTCACTCAAACTAAAAAGAAAAAAATGGAATATAGAATCCGGATCCTCATCTCCTTCCCGCTTTAGTTTCACTCTTATCTCGGTTGCTAACCGGTGTGGGAGATGAAGCCAAGTCCTTTCCCTTCAAGGATCTAACTGCCACTCTTTCTAGTTTCATTCAACTGCCACTAACCCATATGCTTAAAACATCTCATTGGAGGTGGGATAGAGCTAATTCTGGGATCGAATGTCTCTCATTGTGGTCTTGATTTTAAGCTAGTACAATCAAGGATTCTGGTATGAATTTGGTAGTCATCTTGATCTCTTCTCTTGTCTGTTTTTTTTTTGAATAGGTCTTCTCCCTTCGATCCGCGAAGTAGGCAAGCAGGAATCTCTCCCCCTTTCTGTTTATGGATAGAAAGAATATCTCCTTAGGAGAGTATTTTATGAGTTGACTGTAACCCGAAGGCTTCTTTCAATCGATCTAGTAGGTAAGAAATAAGATCTTCGTATAGTTAATGAATTAAAGCGAAACCACTAGGTTAGATCTCGTCTGTGATCCCTGGGCTTGTTAATTGAGAGAGAAACCCCTACTATCGATCGTGGCCTTCATTGAGTGCATTTTTTGCTCTTTGACATAGTAAGGCGGGAAGGCATGAGCAAGGCACTTACAAGGCCTTTCACAGCTCAAATCCATGCATTAAGCCGCTAATCCCTTTTATAGCAAAGTCCCAGCAGGCTACCTCATCGGGAAATCTAAATTCTTTCACCGAACCAGGGGGGCACGATGAATACATTGATTATCTGGGTCCGATCGTCGCTAGAGGCCCGTCGACTATAATACACTGTTCGAAATTTCTTCGTTTCTGCCGAAACAAAACGGGATTGGCTATCTTAACCTTAGCAGTTTTGCGAGCAAACGTAGACGAATGCTTGCAAGACCAGCAAAGCCCTACTTATTAGGAGGGGACTCTTTGGCACCTTAGAGAAATTCCTTTACCTAGGGGATCAAGTGGTAGTTGATCAATGAACTAATATCTTTCGGTATAGGGCGAAGGTAAGGGCTTGGGCATGGCACGAGGGTTGTTAAGCTCACATCCGTTGTAAGACTTTGTAAGAAATGCTGGATTGTGCCCTCCGAGCAGAAGGTGTCCTCAGGGCTTAGTTGGGTTTGTTTGAGTCTAAATCCTGATTACGTCGAGTGGAGAGGCCTTAGTGTTCAACGCACCACGTCCATCCTTATGGAATCCATCTGGACAGCTTACCCTTAAACTTTTGCCAACCCCAGAGAAGAGAACTTCGAGGATACGCGGTAGACATGCTTTTCCCAAGAATCTTCAAACTTTTTGCTTATGTAATGGGGGAGGTACCAGCTGATGTCTTTGAAGACATTCAGAAGGACGTTCGAGATATGGAGGGGTGCTTTGGGTTTGATCTGAGATGGGTTCATGCCAGGCTGGGTGCAGTGGCCAAGGCAAGATTTGATACCCATCATCTCGAGGAGTACGCCCAGACTTCAGCAGCGCTCGAGAAAGCTACAAGTGCATTGGCTCAACTTGAAGGAGAGTTGTCTCGGCGTAGTGAAACTGCTTCTGCCCATTTGGTGAACAACTCTGTTGCTACTAAAATGAAACATTTTCCCCTCGAGGGAGTGGTTATTTTCCCGATGAAATCGAGGGCACAAGTTTTAAATGGGTAGGGAGTTCCACGGCTGGAGCATGTATGAGGTTGCCATGTAGTTGACAAACCTTGCACCTCTTAACAAATGTTGCTGAATCTATCTCCATAGTTGGCCAATAGTACCCCAGGGTCATCAGGTGATCATATATCTTTGCGCCGCCAATATGTCCTGGGGCGTGGGCTTCCTCGAGAACCTGCTGCACATCCGGATGGAGAGGATGGCCATTATAGCCCTTCCTGTAAAGTTCTCCTTGCTTAGCAAAGAAGCGAAATGCCCTTTTCTTTATTCCAACTACATCTTTTGTTTCAGAGGGGAGGATTTTTTGATCCAGAAAAGAAATACAATCAATATAGGGCTTTCTCCAGTCTTCATAATATAATGCTCTAAGGCACATTCTGCTGGACATGGGTAGAATTGACATTGGAGGCAAGTTTTCTTCAATTTGTTGGCTTCCTCCAATACTGCAGCTGAGAGTTCTGCTCTGATGGAGGTGCATATTCATATTCTCCACTCGGGAAACGGGCAAGCAAATCAACTAAGGCTTTACTTTTCATTGCGTTGGGAGTTACACATTTCATGTCATAGCCTGCTAGAGTGAGGAACCGCCGAGCAGCTCTCCCTATGAGTATAGTATAGCTCGAGACATTAAGTGTTTGATTGGGTCACATCTTGTCACAATATGAACTGTGAAGGACATGAAGTAGTGACGCAACTTCTGAGTAACAAAGACTAATGTGAGGCAGTGCCCTTCCACAACTGAGTACCTTGTCCCCGGACCTGTGATCACTCGGCTCAAGTAGTATACTGGGCATTCCTTCCTATCGCAATGCCCCACGAGAAGTAGAAGTGAGATAAAGCTGCAAGGGATTGGCTGAATATTGATCCAGTTTAGGCAGCTTTCAGTCTCTATAAACTTGATGGAATATCTCTTACACAAGGAAAAAGACTTGCATCAATCAATGGCATGAAGGAGTTGAATCAGGAACATAATTTCAAAGCCAAAGCAAAGGCATTCATTTAGCAGGAGTTTACGCTGCAAAGACGATTCGTGCTAGCTCTTCTCTTCTTTAACTAGTTAGATGAATAGCCTATTGGGCTAGTTTACTAAGCTTTCAGTCTACATAAACTTCATTCAATATTGATTACACTCCTTCTCCTACTGCTTCTCCTTATACCCACTAATGTTCTTCTTCGTCCTACCTTGACTATTGGGAAATTTCCATTCGAGAAAGAGATGTACGAATAAAGGAGCGAAGCTGACTCGACCGGACGGTAGAGGTTGTTTAAGAATCGAGATAGGCACCGTGAAAGAAAGAACTTCGCTAGCTTACCCCACGTAGCAGTCCTAGTAAATACCTGTGCTTTATAGAATAGGGCCTTTTAGGATATGATTACAATGCTTCAGTTGTCATTGATCAAGAAGGAAATCAAAAAGGAAGTCGATTTTTTGGTGCGATTGCCGGGGAATTGAGACAGTTTAATTTGACTAAAAGACTTTCATTAGCTCCTTAGGTATTATAAGATGAGACCATGAATCGAACCAGATCGAAACATTCAGCTGTCGACGGACACACTTTGCCGGAACGTCGACCGCAAACGAAGGATAGCCAGGCCCCGGTTCCCAGGGTTAGGGTATTCCCTATTATGTTATGAGCCTACTCAGATCAGAACTAGTTTCTTCTCTTTCGCCTATCGGCCGGCCGGCTTTAAGCAACCTTCGCATTTCCTGCTGAGATCCCAAGTCTCCAAGTAGGCCCTCTTGGCCACCCACGACCTTGGCTTTTTAGAGAATCCCGCTCCTGTCTCGTAGGACTTGT